CTACTCGCGCTACACCACAGTCATCCCCTTGCGCCGCAAGGGTGAGTTCACTGAGGTGTTGATCGACTGGATCCGCGCTGCTCGTCACCAGCTCAAAGAGAGTTTCGGCTCGGACTTTCCTGTTCTGCGTCTGCACACAGACAGAGGTGGTGAGTTTTCCTCCGACCTTCTGAGGGCTTTCTGTCATGCGGAGGGCATCCGCCAGACGTTCACGCTTCCGGCCTCCCCACAGCAAAATGGGAATGCTGAGCGCCACATTGGCATGGTCATGGACGTTGCTCGCACGTCCATGATCCATGCGGCTGCTCCCCATTTTCTGTGGCCGTTCGCTGTTCAGTACGCTGCGCATCATATCAACCTTCAGCCTCGTGTCTCCTTGCCAGAGACCACACCTACTCTGCGGTGGACCGGGAAGGTTGGTGATGCGTCTGTGTACCGTGTCTGGGGATCTCGAGCTTTTGTCCACGATACTTCCGCGGACAAGCTGTCCTCTCGTGCTGTTCCCTGCGTTTTCCTTGGCTTCCCCCCTGACGCGCCTGGGTGGCAGTTTTACCACCCCACCTCGCGCCGTGTTCTGTCCTCTCATGACGTCACGTTTGACGAGTCGGTCTCCTACTACCGTCTCTTTCCCTACCGCACTGCCCCTCTCCCCCCCCCCCCCCCCTCTTCCTAGCACCAGGTACTCCTCCGGTAGACCCCCTCCCCCCTCAGGGTCCTGCCCCTTCAGGTGTGTCCCAGGTAGACCCTGTCGAGCCGGTCGAGGTAGCTGTTGACTCTGGTGCTGCTAGGGGTGCTGAGCCTGCGGTTGCGGGGCCTGGGGGTGCTGAGCCTGGGGTTGCTGAGTCTGGGGGTGCGGAGCCTGGGGGTGCGGAGCCTGGGGGTGCTGAGCCTGGGGGTGCTGAGTCTGGGGGTGCTGAGTCTGAGGGTGCTGAGCCTGAGCGTGCTGCGTCTGGAGGTCCTTCGGGTGTCTCGTCTCGGAGGGAGCCCCTCTCTCCACAGCAGCTGCGTGAGTGGTACGCTCGACGCTGTAGCCGTGCTGCTGGTGCTGGAGCTACTAGAGCAGCTGGAGGTTCTGCTGGTGCTGGAGCTGCTGGAGCCGCTGGTTCTAGAGGTGCTCGTACTGCAGGTACTGGTACTGCTGGAGGTGCTACTGGAGTCACTGGAGGTGCTGCTGGTGCTGGAGCTGCTGGAGCCGCTGGTTCTAGAGGTGCTCGTACTGGAGGTACTGGTGCTGCTGGAGGTGCTACTGGAGTCACTGGAGGTGCTGCTGGTGCTGGAGCTGCTGGAGCCGCTCGTCCTGGTGGTGCTCGTGCTGGAGGTCCTGCCGCTGCTGGAGGCCCTGCTGGTGTTGGAGCTGCTGGAGGCACTGAAGCCGCTGGTCCCGGAGGTACTCGTACTGAAGGTACTGGAGCTGCTGGGGCTGGTGGTGCTGTAGGAGTTGGAGCTGGTGCTTCTGGAGCTGGTGCTGCTGGAGGTGCTGCGTCTGGTGGTGCTGCGGGAGCTGGAGCTGGAGAGCCTGGAGCAGAGGGTACTGGTGCTGTCTTTGCTGTTTCTAGAGGCGCTGCGCGGCCGCGGCCGTACTCCTTCAGCAGGTTCTTGGCCTACCGCTTTCTACTGGTCCTCCTCCTCCCTTACTGAGTCCACCGCCTGTCCAGTCGCAGTCGCAGTTACTGCCAGCCTCTCCACTGCCTGGTCCTTCTCCTTACTCTAGACCGACTAGAGGTCTTACGGAGCGTCGTGCGCCTGAGTCTCGTCCTGCGTCGCCTGAGTCTCGTCCTGAGTCGCCTGTTGCTGTCCGCACTGGTCGTGTTCCGCGTCAGCGTCCTCCTCCTGTCCCTGGCACTCACTATATGACGCTGCGTCCTTCCACTGCTCCACAGCGTGTCCCTCTGCCGTCTCCTCCTGCGTCCTCTCTTCCTGACGGTCCGGACCCAGCGTCTGACTCCCTTCGTGCTGCTAGTCCTACTGTCACGCGTTTCCTCGCCACTGTTGTCACTGACCCTTCGTTTGAGTCCACTGCTGCGTCTGCTCTAGTTGCTGAGCTTGTTGACTTTGCTGCCGCCTGTCGTCTAGACTACGCCGCTAGTCTTGTTGCTGAGTCTGAGTCTGTCTGTCCTCCGTCCGTCGGGGGTGAGTGTGCTCTTGGCACGGACGTCCTTGAGGACAGACAGGAGGAGTTTGAGTGCTTTGCCGCTGCTTTACCTCATCTCGTGTCCATGTTGATTGCCCTTGAGGGAGACCCGGATGCACCAGACATCCCGACCCCGCGCTCTTACGCAGAGGCGATAGAGGGTCCCTACTCCTCTCAGTGGCAGACAGCCATGGACGCAGAGATGGCTTCCTGGAAGTCCACAGGCACCTACGTCGACGAGGTTCCCCCACCTGGGGCGAACATCGTCAGTGGCATGTGGATTTTCAGGGTGAAGCGGCCGCCGGGTTCTCCGCCGGTCTTCAAGGCGCGTTACGTTGCACGAGGCTTCAGTCAGCGAGAGGGAGTTGACTTCTTCCAGACCTTCTCCCCTACCCCGAAGATGACCATTCTTCGGGTTCTGCTGCACGTCGCCGCTCAGCGTGACTACGAGCTTCACTCTCTTGACTTCAGCACTGCTTTCCTACAGGGCAGCCTGCACGAGGAGATCTGGCTGCGCCGCCCACCTGGCTTCACTGGGTCGTTTCCTGCTGGTACCCAGTGGAGCCTCCGGCGGCCAGTCTACGGTCTCCGCCAGGCACCCCGTGAGTGGCACGACACACTGAGGACTACTCTTGCTGCTCTTGGGTTTGCTCCTTCTACTGCTGACCCGTCGCTGTTTCTACGCACCGACACCACTCTACCGCCGTTCTACGTTCTCGTGTACGTAGACGTCTTGGTCTTTGCTACTTCTGACACTGAGGCACTCGCCCACGTGAAGTCGGAGCTGCAGAAGAGACACACGTGCACAGACCTGGGTGAGCTGACAAGCTATCTTGGCTTGCGGATCACCCGGGACAGAGCACAGCGCACCATTACCCTGACTCAGTCACACATGGTGCAGCAGGTCCTTCAGCGCTTCCGCTTCACGTACTCCTCGCCACAGTCCACTCCTCTGCCTACCGGTCACTCGCTCTCAGCTCCACCTTCGGACGAGTCCGTAGAGCCGAGTGGCCCGTATCTAGAGCTTGTGGGCTGCCTCATGTACCTGATGACCTGCACTCGACCTGACCTTGCCTACCCTCTTAGCATCCTAGCACGCTATGTCGCTCCTGGCCGACACAGGAAGGAGCACATGGATGCCGCTAAGAGGGTGTTGCACTACTTGTGCAGTACGTCGGGCATGGGGCTCGTGCTTGGAGGACAGGCTCGAGTTGTCCTCACTGGTCACGCAGACGCTTCTTGGGCTGACGACTTGGCTACGCAGCGGTCGTCACAGGGTTACACCTTCAGCCTTGGCTCCGGCTCTGTTTCTTGGCGGTCTACCCGCTCTTCTTCTGTTCTCAGCTCCAGCTGTGAGGCTGAGATCTACGCAGGGGCCATGGCTGCACAGGAGTTACGCTGGCTCACCTACCTGCTGACCGACCTGGGAGAGCTGCCTCGTTCTCCTCCAGTGCTGTACGTCGACAACAAGGCCATGATTGCCTTGTGTCAGGAGCACAGACTGGAGCACAGAACGAAGCACATCGCTCTGCGCTACTTCCTTGCTCGAGAGTTGCAGCAGCGTGGTCAGCTTCGTCTTGATTACGTGGCCACTCAGGCCAACACTACTGATGTCTTCACCAAGGCACTCCAGCCTTGTGATCATCAGCGTTTCTGTACTGTTCTAGGCCTTGTGCCTACTGTGCCTCACTTGCTTACTTCTTGACTCTGCTTGTACTGTGATCTCTATACATATACCTGCATGCTTACACTTGCTAGGTTGTGATCACTGTATTGCTTGTTCTCCTTTATATAACTCTGCATGTGAACTGGCCTTGTGGCCATTTGCTTGTGCTCGGAATGCGTGGTGACTTCGTGATCCACCCTGAGCTTGCTTTGCCTCTCTTGACCGGTCTTGTGACCTCTTGTTCTCCCCACTTTGCCTATGGGGGTGTGTCAAACATATATGCTATAGTCTGTGTAGGCTGTAGTGGGGTAGTTGATATAGGGTACAACACTTTTAGGTTTCCTACTTGTACCCACCTGCTTTCTAGTTCAGTCATTCCTTCGTTCTCATTCTGACAGCATTCACTTTCTGAGATGAAGGCACGTGATATAAAATTGACTACCCTAGCTAGGCGGGTACCTCGGGGGTGCGAGGTTGGGTGCAGGTTTGGCGAAGGGAAAACCGAAGGCGACGCGGAGCAGCCTCGGAATCGTGGATGTCGGCCGAATGTGCGAAGTACCATGATCTCCCTCCTAGAAGACCCGGGGGTCTTATCCTAAATGTGCTGGAAATGGGTTGTGGGTTCTTATGTAATGACATGAAGTGCATAAGACCCCTGGATATCTATTTGTTACACACATATTGAATTTGTGGTAGTGTACAGGGAATTTGGTTTTTTCTCACCCATCGAATTCGAGTCTGCCTGTAAGCGAGGAGTCAAATTGCCACTTTCGTGCACCACGACCCATGCCATGCGTCACACATTCACGCATGACGGCGGCAAAACCTGCCAGTGCTGGCGCAGCGAGGCTACTTGGTTGGTGTCGTGGCCACACAACCATCACCTCATCAGGTTCGGTGCATCTGGTGGGGTGATGGGTTCGAGAACGTTCCACCGTGCACTGCTGGATTGCAAGCGCCTCGGAGAACGTGCTCTCACCCCAGTCACGTCCCTCTCCTCCCCGGCTTCTGAGGGGGGTAGTCCGAGACGATGAGGCTCATTTTCATTTTTTTTCCTTGAGTTGAAAACCTCCTCCCGTTTCTCTCAGCCACCATGTTCCTACCCAGTAGCTTAGGCTGTTCTCCCGTACACACGCAGTCATGTCTGCGCTGGACATGCTGATGAAGATGCGGGCTGTTAGTGCAGCCCGAGGCCTTGCAGCCATGGCGAACGCACCCCCAGCTCCACCTGCCCTGCCGGCTCCTCCGGCACCACCTTCTCCGCCGGCTCCTCCCGCACCTCCTGCTCCGCCGTCGCCTCCCGTGCCCCCTTTCCCTTACCCCTTCGAACCTGTGAAGGGCGAAGAGGAGCTTCTTGGGCAGATAGAGCCTGACGCGTCTTCAACCGATGACGAGGGGAGTGACGGCGCCGCAGCGACCGGTGAAAACCTTACCTTTCCTCTGCCCCAGTTCCCCACTGATGTGCTGCGCGATGTCGACCCTGCCGCTGTCTCTCGTGATGCTGTAACCCCCAATTCCCAGAACAGGCCTAACCAGCACAAGCGCCACGCTCGCACCATGGCAGAGAAGACTGGTTGGCTTGTGAGGATGAAGGATAATATTCTCACGGTGCGCGAAACTGCACGGCTGGCTGGCGTTCAACCCGTGAGCATCCGCCGCTGGAAGAAGGCGGCTGAAGAGATGGCAGCGGCGGCAGGCAGTCGTCTGCGGCTTTCTGGTGGCGGACGGACAGCTCGCTACCCTGACATGGAGCTGTCAGTGTACAAGCAGTTCCTCGCCTACAGGTCACGGGGATTGGCGGTCCCGATTAAGCTGCTGCAGACATGGAGCCGGATCTCGATGAAGCTCCGCCACCCTCAGGTCGACTGGCGCGCATCTCCTCGCTGGACGGTCAGATTTCGCAAGCGCTGGGGCCTCACCGTAAGGGTAAAGACCAAGATCGGGCAGCGTCTGACGAAAGGTACGTTCATTTCGTACGCGGAGAGTTGTTTTGATAATAATTTCCTAACACTGCCGTTTGTTCATTACGCTTTGTCTACTGGCAGATTGCAAGCCGAAGTGTGAAAGCTTCTGGCAGTTCTGCAGGAGGCAATTGGTCCGCGATGGCATCGACCCCTGGAATGTTATCAACGCCGGCCAGACGCCTGTGTTCCTCGAGCTGCCGCACGAGAGGACGTTGGCGCACCGCGGCGAGCGCACGGTTCACATTCGGACCGCTGGCTATGAGAAACAACGCATGACTGTGATGCTCGCGGTCACGGGGACGGGGGTGAAGCTGCCGCCGATGGTGATATTCAAGCGGAAGACCGTCCCCAACATCAGGGTCCCGCCAGGTGAGTTGCTGCATCTGTCTCTTGTAAACGCATCGTTTGTACTTGTGCATGATTGTCCCCGTTCTGACTGTTACCTTGTTTCTGTTTGCAGGCATGCTAATCCGAGCGCAAGAACGTGGCTGGATGGATTCCAGCCTCGTCCTGGATTGGGTGCAGACTGTGCTGCTACCTCACACGCGCCCCCGCCCAGGCATCAACCGCAGCAAGACACTGCTCGTACTGGACTCGTACCGTGGGCATCTGACGGGCAGCGTACGGGGGACGCTACGCTGGCATCGCATCACGCCTGCGATAATCCCTGGCGGCTGCACGCCTCTGCTGCAGCCGCTGGACGTGAGCATTAATCGCTCGTTCAAGGCCGGTGTCCGGCAGATGTATAACGATTGGTTTGCCAATCATGGCATCAACACCCTCACCCCCGCCGGTAAGCCCATAACTCCTTGTTTGGCCCCCTCTACCGGCAATTTCCTTTCCGTATTCTTACGCTCAACCGCCTGTTCACCGCTGCAGGCAACCTCAGGAAGCCGCCAGCGGAGTTGGTCCTCCTGTGGATCGGCACAGCCTGGGCCGCCGTCCCTGAGGACCTCATTATCAGGTCATTCAAGACCTGCGGCATCACCAACACCCCCGATGGGCGCGAGGATCACTTGATTCTCGCGCACATGCGCGATGGGGCTCAAGTGGAGGTGCACGACGACGTGCACGCGGCGGGGGAGGTTGAGGAGTGGATCAACCCCATGTACGCCACTGCCGCGGAGGAGGCCGCGGAGGAGGAGGAGGAGGAGGAGGAGGAGGAGGAGGAGGAGGAGGAGGAGGAGGAGGAGGAGGAGGAGGAGGAGGAGGAGGAGGAGGAGGAGGAGGTGGACGAGGAGGCACCTGTGGAGGAGGAGGAAGCTATGGAGGAGGAGGACGGCGAGGACAGTGAGGAGGAGTAGACAGGTGCTGGAGTAGGTAGTCTAGTGGGTGTATGCGCTGGCTGGCGGTAATTTGTTGGTATTGTAGGCTCTAACCATTTGACCCTGGGTAGTAGAGTTCAAATGAAGTGTAGCCTGTAAATGTGGCTAAAAATAATGCTAGATTGTTATTAAAAACCAGAGATTGGGGAAGAAGGGGGGTCTTATAATGAATGGGGTCAAATGGCGGGTCCTCTCCAGGACTGACTTAATAAAAGACCCCTGGTCCGGATAGAAGACCCACGGGGCTTTTATGCGGGGGGGTCTTGTAACCGGGAGATCACGGTATGAAAGTGTTGGGTTTGTACGCTTAGAAGTCAACCCCTATAAGGAAAATTAATTTTCGTTACACAGCCCATAACACCTAACAGCGCAGCTCGATAGGCCAGGTTTCCACAATTTTGCCGCCACGAGAGAGGATGTTTTTGTGTCCAATCAATCTCGTCCCGAGGTTCCCTCGCCTCGGTTTCATCTTCGCTGTTATTTGGCCGCCTTGATTTGCTCGCAACAGCAGAGGTGTACCGAGCATAACACGCTCACCATCACGCTTCCACCCCTTGGTTCCTGCATGCTACTGCTGCCTCTGCATGCGCTTCTGCTCTGCCTGCATGTTAGACAGAACAACGCTGCCAACGCGTTCCTTGTCTACGTGATTCCCACTTCAGCTGCTAACCAAGCTCGGTTCTCGCCGTGCCTTCGCCTTGTAGAACCAACCATTCAGGGGGATCCGTTCCTGGGAGTTTCGTCCTCTCATTGCGCCTCCGTTATCTCTGAGCGCTTGCGATGGACGGTATTTTATCGAACAGCAACGGCAGCGTGGAAGGGCGGGCGAAGAAGCCGAGTCCTTCGAGCGAGCTACCGGCGATCGAGCACGTAGCGGACGGGCTGACAGGCGCGCGGCTGGCGGGCGCTCTCGATCACTCCGACTCCACTGACACGGAGGAGCGGCGGGTGCTGCCGCCGACCGACCCGATGGTGACGTCACTGCTGACGGATATGTACCAGCTGACCATGGCGTACGCGTACTGGAAGGCGAAGAAGCACAACGACCACGCCGTGTACGCGCCCTCCCGCGCCAACCCTCACCTGCGTCCAATCATCCACCCGCCAAACCCCTCGCGCCTGACCTCGCCGTGCTCTGTTGCGCGCGACACTTGTGCGCTCCGCGTTAGCGAGATCCTGCACCCACCGCGTGTCCTCTCGTCCTCCTCCCCGCCCCTACCGTGTCCATGCGCGTGCACCGCTCCGGCGCGCCCCCTGCAGGTTCGACCTGCTGTTCCGCAAGAACCCGTTCGGCGGCGAGTACACGCTGTTCGCGGGGCTGGAGGAGTGCGTGCGATTCGTCGCCAACTTCCGATACTCACACGCCGACGTCGCCTACCTGCGCACCATCATGCCGCCCTCGTGTGAGGTGCGTCGCCCACCCTGCCTCTCTCGTACCCGCGTGTGGTAAGGTCAAGAGGTGGCAGGCACCGTGCAGTGGGCCTTGCGCGTGCTCTCATGCCAACCCTCCTCCCCTCGCTTCCCCACCACCTCCCCCACTCTCACCCGCGCACCCGCCATCAGGGGTTGCCTCACTCGCTCGCTCTCGAAGCAGTGCGCGAATGTCTCTCCCCTGTTCTACTTTTCCAACTGGAGTTATAACATCATAGAGAACCTTCCTCTCTGTGTCTCCCTTTCCCTATCCCCCTGTGTCTCACCCTTTCTCTCCCTCTCGCCCTCTCCCTACTCCAAGCCCGTCATTTCCCTGCTTTTCCTGTTTTTGTACTTCGCCCGTTTCAAAACTTTTCAGTATGTGCGTATGTGCTTGTGTGTGTGCGTGTGTGCTTGTGCTTGTGTGTGTGTGTGTGTGTGCGTGTGTGCTTGTGCTTGTGTGTGTGTGTGTGTGCGCGCACGTGTGTGTGTGTGTGTGCGCGTGCGTGCGTGCGTGCGTGCGTGCGTGCGTGCGTGCGTGCGTGCGTGCGTGCGTGCGTGTCTGCGTGCGTGCGTGTCTGCGTGCGTGTGTGTCTGTCTGTGTGCGTGTGTGTGCGTATGTGTGTCTGCGTGCGTGCGTGTGTCTGCGTGCGTGCGTGCGTGCGTGCGTGCGTGCGTGCGTGCGTGCGTGCGTGCGTGCGTGCGTGCGTGCGTGCGTGCGTGGTGTGGTGTGGTGGGGGCATGGCAGGACGCGTTCTTTGACTATCTACTGACGCTCGACTGCTCCACCATCCGCATCATGGCCCTGCCAGAGGGATACGTCGCCTTCCCCCGCGTGCCGCTCATGCGTGTCGAAGGCCCTCTCCTCGTACGTGCCTGCCTGTCCCTCCTCCACCTCCTTCCTCTCCTATCGCACCTGCAGCTGCAGCAGCATGAGCATCGCATCCCGTGCTTTTATCTGCTCCACGACTAGCCTTTCGTCCTGCCTGCCATGCGCCACACCATGAGTGCGTGCACGCGCCTCTGCTTGTCCCCGCTGTGGGTGGCAGGTGGCGCAGCTGCTGGAGACGACGCTGCTGGTGCTCGTGAACTACGCCTCGCTCGTGGCCACCAATGCCGCCCGGCACCGACAAGTGGCCGGGCCCAACAAGTTGCTCTTTGAGTTCGGACTGCGACGCGCCCAGGTCGCTATCTCCACACCCGCCCGCTCCCCCACTCCCCTTGCACTTGGGCTGCTGCGCCCACTGCTGCTTGCCATCCGCCCGCAACCCACCATTTCACCTCCCTACCCACTCCTCCATGCCGCTTTGTTCTCCCTCCTCCACGTTGCCATTTATCTTATTCTCACTGCTCATTGTTATGCCCTCCCTTTATGTTTCGCACATGCCAAGCAGCGCATGCCAAGCAGCGCATGCCAAGCAGCACACTTTAATAACAAGACTGAGGCAGGCCACTGCGTGTTGGTCCCAACCGAAACGCTCTTTTTTGTTGTGAATTTGTTGCGGCCTCGTGCGTGCCTGGCAGGGTCCTGATGGTGCGGTGTCTGCGTCGCGCTACTGCTTCATGGGTGGCTTCGATGCCACCAGGTGGGCCTGCCACACCGCCACCACGTCCACTTTCTGCACCGCCTTGCATTCACACTCTCATAACATGTCTCCACCTTCCCCACCTGCTGCCCCGCTCCTCCTACCCTACTTCCGTTACCCCTTTTTTTAGATATTCAGCCATTTACCCTAGCTACGTCCACGTTTCCTTGAGTTACATTGTCTCTTGTCACCTTTTTCCTTTGTACCCCCTCCTCCTCTCGGTCACCGCCATGTGTGTGTCGCGTGTGTGGGCGGTGGGAGCAGCAACGTGGAGGCGGGGCGCATCTTCAACATTCCTGTCAAGGGCACTCACTCGCATGCCTTTGTCTCATCCTTCCTCGTACGCCCACTCCCTCGCCTCCCCTTGTCCTTCTATGCATTTCCACCTGCCGCTGCTCATAAATTGCTCCTTATGGCTATCCTCCCAGGTGCTGCCCATGCATTCACCACACATGTATGGCGCCAGCCAGCCCTCTGCCAGCTGCCTCTTCCCATGCCATGCGGGTACGCCCTCCTCTATGTGTGTGCTCATCGTCTCATGTGTTCCGCTGCCCTGCCCCATGAGCGCATGTGTGAGTGCAGGCGTTGGACGAGATCAAGGAGCGCGCGCTGCCAGCAGCAGATGCGTCCCACGTGTGCCCCGACTTCGTGACGCTCGTGCTCTCCTTCCTGCACCGCATGCAGGTTCCCCCCTCGCTGCCCTCCTCTCTCTCCTCTTCCTCGCTGCCCCCTTTGCCACGCCCTCGTCGCACTGTTACTTGTGCTCCTGGTCTGCTGCCATGTGTGCTGTGCACCTGCTCGCCCGCGTGGCCCCATGCACGTGTTGCCTGCTGCTCTTCACCTCATGCTCCCACTGCTGCCATGCTGCCATGCAGGAGAGTGAGAAGCTGAGGGACCTGTTTGCGGAGACCAATGAGAGCGAGCTGGCGGCGTTCACCTCATACGCGCTGGCCTTCCCCACGCACTTCCAGGCGCTCGTCGACACCTACGATGTGAGTGAGTGCACCGCCTGCCCTGCTTGCAACATGCGCCCTGCTGTGCCATCAACCCGCATCCACCGACTCCAATGTGCGCCTCGCCACATGGCAGTTGAGGTTGAGTAGTGGAGCCAGCACCCAACATGCTGGAGTGTGGCCTGTTCAGTTGCGTCGGGTGGACGGAGTCAGGCAGTCATGCATGCATTATTTGGGCTGAGGGATTGTCATTCTGCCCACTACCATGCTACTGCTGGTGTGTGGGGAGACAAGGGCTTGGATGAAACGGGCGGCTGTTTGGCAGGGAGGTTGCAGGCGGGCATGTGTGTGGTGAAGCCTGCCATGTGTGTGGTGAAGCCTGCCATGTGTGTGGTGAAGCCTGCCATGTGTGTGGTGAAGCCTGCCATGTGTGTGGTGAAGCCTGCCATGTGTGTGGTGAAGCCTGCCATGTGTGTGGTGAAGCCTGCCATGTGTGTGGTGAAGCCTGCCATGTGTGTGGTGAAGCCTGCCATGTGTGTGGTGAAGCCTGCCATGTGTGTGGTGAAGCCTGCCATGTGTGTGGTGAAGCCTGCCATGCCCATGCAGCGTCGCAATCCACTCTCATTTCACTCTTTTCTCCTCCGCCATGTGCTGCATGCTACCAAACTCATGGGTAAATGAGAGCCGCACTTGCGTGTGTGTGGTTTGTGCCAACATCCATCTGGTCCTGTTGCTGCCATCCCCACCGCGCCCTCTCCCCTCTCCCAGGTGCTGCGCAGTGGAGTGCCCAACTACTGTGCTGTCGCCCTCGCACTGCACCACCTGGGGTGAGCGCCTTCCTTCCTTGCCCCTCGCTCATCGCTTTACGTGCCTGCCTACTCGCTCTGTCCCCTTGTGCAAGCGGCACGCTGCACCTAGTCGTTGTTGCCTGCACTAGCTCCTCCCAGTGTACGAGCGGGTCGCACACAACACCATACTTAGCGCCTTCCCGGCCGTGCGTGTGACTATCAGACCTTTACGAGGTTTGCAAGCTGTAATAACTGATCGGATTCATGGAGGGGGTAGAAGGTATAGCACACATTTCGGTTTCCCTGTGCTCGCACGTAATCTTGGTGAGCGGGGGATGGTGATGGTAGGACTGGTGTGCTGTGGTGTGCTGGCTGGCGTGGTGGCAGGCATGGGCCACATGGCATGGGCATCACCCAAGGGTAACGGCTGGCTGGTAGCGTGGTGGTGATTGATGCCCACAGTGGTTCTCCCATCTCTCTGGCGCCGTCTGGTCATTGCCACATGGTGTGCGCACATGGCTACAAAGCACCCCATGCAGAGCAGGTGGGGCACAGGTGTAGGGCCACTGCTGCAACCCTTCAACTCGCAGCACTGACCTGCTTTACCAGTCACACGCTGTCTGCATCCACCCACGTCTCCACTTCAACTCTCACCACGCCTCTTCCCTGCCCTGCCCACTCGCGCGCTGCCCACTCGCGCGCTGCCCACTCGCGCGCTGTGTGCACGTGTGGCAGGTACCGGGCGGTGGGCATTCGCCTGGACTCGGGCGACCTGGCGTACCTGTCACAGCAGGCGCGCCTCTTCCTGCGCCACTGCGAGGCGTTCTTCCATGTGGACGGGCTGAGCGCTGCCGTGATCACAGCCAGCAGCGACATCAACGAGGCCACTCTGGAGGCGCTCAACAAGCAGGTCGCTCCGCGCACTCGCCTCTCCACCACCACCCCCTGCTTCTTGCCACCACTGCACCCATGCCCCACATGCTTCGCTATTACGTTCTTTCGTGCCACCACTCGCCATCTCTTTTTCTTTTTGCTGTGCGTGGGCGTGCGCATGCGCATGGGCGTGCAGGGCCATGAGATAGACGCGTTTGGCATCGGCACGCACCTGGTGACGTGTGCGAAGCAGCCGGCGCTGGGGTGCGTGTACAAGCTGGTGGAGATCAACGGGCAGCCGCGCATCAAGCTCAGCCAGGACTTTGACAAGGTGATTGGCGTGGACAGCACGCGCACTGGGTGCAGCACCGGTCATGCTGGCTCGAGTGTGCTTGATAGGGAGGGGTTGGGGTGTGTGTGATTGAGAGTGAGGGAGTAGGGTGTGAGTGAGAGGGTGGGGCTAGGGTGAATGCGTGGGTACATGACAGCGTGCAACTCATGCTGTGAGTGCATTAGGTGCTCTGTTTCTGTTCCTCCAGGAAACAAATGTGGTGTGCTCCTTGTGATGGCGAACTGAGGGTGTGGTTGTCGCTGTGCCTCGTTACTGATGCTGCCTGCCATTGCTCACACAGCACAGCATGAGAGACGTGCTTGCGGATATGACCATGCACTCATCCACCGTCCCCCATGTGTCCTCTTCCCTTCTACTTGCTCGCCATGCTCTCCCCCGCTGCTGTGCAGGTGACGATCCCGGGCAAGAAGGCGTGCTATCGGCTGTACGGCAGGGAGGGGTACCCTCTAGTGGACCTGCTCATGATGCCATCTGACCCGCGCCCTCAGGTCTCGTCACCACACATGCGCGCACCACTGCTGTACCACCGTGTCGCTCTGCTCATGCCTCTGGATGCCACCAGTACTCTGCACAACATGCACGTGCCATTATCACTGTACCTCCATGCTCATGGCTGCGACTGCTCATCTGCAAGTCTGTCTGGCTTGCCATGATGGTGTGTGTGAGGGCGTGTCAGCAGCCTGCTCATCGTTGTCTCCTCCCCTGGGCACCATGCCATGCCATCCCCGTGGTGCGCGTGCGGTGAGTGCAGGTGGGCGAGCGCATCCTGTGCCGCCACCCCTTCAGCCAGTCCAAGCGTGCCTACGTGGCGCCGCACCGAGTCGAGCCACTCTACCGCTGCTTCTGGCGGGGAAAGCAGTTCTGTGAGTGCAAGCCTGGGCTGTTATGGCAACTATAACCAGGGAAGTGACCTTCTTGCCTCTTCCATCTTCTCCTCCTGCCATGCCCAGTCTGGCTCTCTCCCTCGCTCCTCCCACTTTCCTACCTCCATTTCTGCCTCGCGCTACCTCCCCTCCCAGCAATACCGGATGGGCAGGTGGAGGAGGAGAGTGAGGGCGTGGAGCGGCTGCCAGCGCTGGTGGAGGTGAGGGAGCGGTGCCGGCAGCAGATCACAGGGCTGCGCCCCGACCATATACGAGGGCTCAACCCCACGCCCTACAAGGTGATGCCATTGTCCCTGCACCCCGTTGTTTGAACACTTGCACCCACGTGCTTTGCATGGCCATGTATATTCACTTGGTGATTGGATGTGTGGGCATCTGTTTGTGGTGTTTTGTAAATGGTGGGACTGTGGTTGTATGCACTGCACTGTTGGATGCTCTTCCATCATGCTTGTGGACGCGTCTGTCTCTGCATTCTAACATTCTCGCATCATTGCATGCATTGCGTGCCTCTTTGCGCCAACACATGCATGGTGTGCTCATGACTATCATGTGGCAGATAAGTGTGACGGACAGGCTATACAATTTCATTCAGGACCTATGGATGACAGAAGCTCCTGTTGGCCAGCTTGTGTGATGCCCTCGTGTCACGTCCCTTCTAGGCTTCCTAGACTGTTAATACCAATACTAGATTTTGCTCTCTCGTGTAGCTTCTTTGTGGTGCTGCTGCTGCCATTACTGTAGAATGCGATGGTGGTGCGTAAAGAGACATTCTGGCCAGCAAGATGTTCACACATCTCTGTGCATTGAAGCCAGATGGCAAAATTGTCCCCCCCCCTCCACCCCTCCAACTTCTAGTTGGGTCCAACTTGAATCCGTCCGTGGGTTAGAACAAGGTTAGAAACAAACGAATTGGCAGAGAATGTGCGCCCGCCGGCTCGAGGATGGCAAAATTGTCAAATTACAATTGTATCTCTAGGCTACAGTAGGGTCACTCCTTAGTGAGTACAACACTTTAGGGTTAGGTTTCCCCTACTTGTACTCACCTCTTGCCTAGTTTACTCATTCATTCCTAGTTCTATTTTTGACATGTTATCAGAGTAGGAACCGTGCCTACATGGTTCCACCGTTCCGCCTAGTGCTAGCGCCACGCCACGCCCTACACAGTAGCCAGCGCGCTAGCGCCCCTAGCTCTCACTGTCGCGACCCTTGCAGCCCGTGCGCTGCCCCTGCGACCGCGCTGCCCCTGCAGCCGTGCTCGCCCCTACGACCGTGCTGCCCCTGCAGCCGTGCTCGCCCCTGCTACGGTGCTGCCCCTGCAGCCGCGCCTGCCCCTGTGGCCCGCGCGCTGCCCCTGCAGCCCGTACGTCGCTCCTGCAGCCCGTACGCTGCCCCTGCAGCCCGTTCACGCTGCCCCTGCAGCCCGCGCGCAGACCTACCGAGCCGCGCGTCGCCTCTGCAGCCCGTCCGCGCGGCCCCTGCAGCCCGTGCGTCGCCCCTGGAGCACGCGCGCCGCCTCTGCGGCCCGTTCGCGCCGCCCCTACAGCTCGCGCGCGGACCTGCCGAGCCGCGCTTCGCCTCTGCAGCCCGTCCGCGCGGCCCCTGCAGCCCGCGCGTCGCCCCTGGAGCCAGCGCGCCGCCTCTGCGGCCCGTTCGCGCCGCCCCGACAGCTCGCGCGCGGACCTGCCGAGCCGCGCGTCGCCACTGCAGCCCGTACGCGCTGCCCTTGCAGCCCGCGCGGCGCCCCTGCAGCCCGCGCGTCGCCCCTGCAGCCCGCACACCGCCCCTGGAGTCTGTGCGTCCTGCCCCTGCAGCCCGCGCGCCGCTCTGCCGAGCCGCGCCGCCCAGCCCGAGCCGCGCCGCCCACGCCAACCCGAGCCGCCCTGCTACTACTACTGCTACTGCTGCTGCTCGGTCTACTGCTGCTGCTGGAGGGAGTACTGCTGGGAGTGGTGGAGGTGCGACCTCCCAGCCCCACCGAACCGCCCTGCTGCTGTTACTACTGCTGCTGCTGCTACTCGTGCTACTGGGAGTGGTGGAGGTGCTGCTGGGAGTGCAGGAGGTGCTGCTGGCGCTGTAGGAGCTACTGGGAGTGGTGGAGGTGCTGCTGGGAGTGCAGGAGGTGCTGCTGGCGCTGTAGGAGCTGGAGGTGCTGGACCTACTTCTGACCGTCACTGTCTGTCATGGCCACTTCCGCGGCAGTTGCTGCGGCCAGGGGTGGACAGCAGCGGGCACTGCTTCTCCCGGACGACCCCACCCCTCGGCAGCTTCGTGAGTGGGTTATTCAGCGAGGTCGTCCTGGTGGTGGAGGCTATCGTTCTGTTAGGACTGCTGCTCTTGGTGTTAGTGAGTCTGCTGCCACTCCAGGTGCTAGTGAGTCTGCTGCCGCTCCAGGTGCTAGTGAGTCTGCTGCAGCTCTAGGTGCCCGTGAGTCTACCGACGCTCTAGGTGCTAGTGCGTCTACTACCACAGGTCCTGCCTCATCTGAGGTCTTGCACACTTTCACGCTTGACTCAGGCGCGTCACGTTGCTTCTTTCGTGATTGCACCACAGTCACACCACTCACAGCACCTGTCCCAGTCTCACTGGCTGACCCCTCTGGGGGCCCAGTGGTTGCGAGAGCCTCCACGGTCCTCCCTTGTCCAGCAGTCCCCTCCGGCTCTTTGTCAGGTCTCCACCTCCCCACGTTCTCGACGAACTTGGTGAGCAACGCTGCCATTCAGGATGTCTGGGTTGATACCTTTATTCCCGGAGGGCAGCGTGTGGCGATCTGTACGTGCTCCCGGACTGGCCGTCACCTGGCCACGTTCACTCGACAGCCTGGGTCTAGTCTGTACACACTGACCACTGCGTCTGCACAGGTGGCTGAGTCAGGTCAGGTAGCTGCGTCGAGTCGAGAGTTTGCGTCAGGGCAGTTAGCTGGGTCTTGCTCGTGCAGAGTACTCACGCACGAGACTCAGCGCTGGCACCACCGTCTTGGTCACCCCTCCCTGCAGCGTCTGCGCGACATGCACTCCCGGCTCCTGGTCTCTGGCCTCCCTGAGACCCTGCCCCCCCTCCCGCGCTCACTTGCGCCGCCGTGCCTTCCTTGCGTTGAGGGGCGGCAGCGCGCCGCTCCTCACTCCTCCGAGTTTCCTCCGACCACTGCTCCTCTGCAGACTCTCCACCTGGACGTGTGGGGCCCGGCCCCCGTCGGTGGGACGGACCAGGAGCGCTACTTCCTGCTGGTTGTTGAGGACTACACACGCTACACCACAGTCTTCCCCTTGCATCGCAAGGCGGACGTCAGCGGTGTTTTGATCCCCTGGATCCGTGCTACTCGTCTCCAGCTACACGAGCGCTTTCAGCAGGACTTCCCAGTCCTGCGTCTGCACTCTGACAGGGGTGGTGAGTTCTCTTCTGGCGTCCTTGAGACGTTCTGCCAGGATGAGGGCATCGCCCAGTCGTTCACGCTTCCGGCCTCTCCGCAGCAAAATGGGATCGCTGAGCGTCGCATTGGCCTGATCATGGAGGTTGCTCGTACCTCCATGATCCATGCGGCTGCTCCCCGTTTCCTGTGGCCAAGCTGTGCAAAGCGTGGACGGCACACGACTTACCTTTCAGTCAGGTCGACGTAGAGGTCCCTTACCTAAGTTGTTCGTAGGCCGGCAGCCGTGCAGTCACTAGCGTGCGCGTAAGTGACGCCAAGGGGATGGAGACCCTGGAAGCACAGCTGGAGGACGCGAGGACACGCCATGGGGCCCAGGAGTACGGAACGATCCCCTGGGCGGTTGTGGAGGCTAGCATTCGCACCATGTGGGCGACTTTGCACCCTCCTCAACCTGCGTCTCCTCGACCGGTGAATACAGAGGGCGGCGTCGACGTGGGCGTCAACGCCGGTGGTGGCCAAGTCGGCAGCAGTGCGGGAGGCACGTCGAGGCAGAGAGGTGTGATACACGCCGATGAAGTCGGCGGCGTTCAGGCGCGAGGGATGCGGTCGACGGCGGCCGCAGGCACCTCGCAGGGCGACGTCGGAGGTCGACGAAACGGGTTGTCGCCGATGTCGGCGACCCAGGTAACAGCGGGCGGAATTGCCCCGAGCTACGGCTACTTCAAGTTCACGCCGGACAGGATCCTGGTCACCCCACCGCTCACTGGACGACCTGATATCCTCACCTGGAAGGAGGCCATTGAGCCTCAGCTGGAGATGGCTGGGCTGATCAGCTTTGCTCGAGGCACCGTGGTGACGCCGGACGACCCCGACATGCGAGCGGAGTTCCGCGCCGTACAGCTGTTGACCTTCACGGTCATCTCGCGGTGCTGCTCGCCGGGCGTGCAGATCGCCTTGAAGTGGTGTCGGGAGTACCTCGACGCCGGCCACCAGGCGTGGCACTTCATCGAGTCGACCTACCAAGTCACCGACGACCTGTTCATCGCCCAGCTGGAGGGGCAGCTGACGCACCTGCGTATGGGCAACGAGGAGACGGCGACCGACTACTGCAACCGGGCCCGGCGAATTCTCGCCACCATCAGGATGGCCGGCGCGTAGTACTCGACGGCGTCATACGTCACCCACGTCATGCAGGGACTCTCGAGCAGCTACAACCTCCTGAAGCGGCTGTCAATGGCGCCGAGCACGAGGACGACGCTCAACGAGGACAACTTGACCTCGTACATCCTGCAGGACGAGGCGATGCAGGAGGCAGAGCGGTCCCAGGAGCTCTTGGCGCAGGCGAACTTTGTCGCCCCGGCAAAGCAAGGAGGACGACCGGGGCAGCGCGGACAGTCTGGAGGCGGTGGTAGCAGTGGCTGGAAGGCGGCCAAGGAGGTCGACAAGAAGAGGTCGACAAAGGACAGCGGTCGAGGAGGAGGAGGTCGACGTCGGGAGTGCTGGCTGTGCGGCGACCCCGACCACCTCTCCTTCGAGTGCCCCGACCGCAGTGACTCCGACGACGACGACTCCAAGGGAGGCCGCGGGAGGTCTGGCAGTCGTCGTCCTCGTCAAGGAGGAAACAAGCCGCGCAAGGAGAAGCAGTCGACGACGTCGACCTCGGCGAAGGACGCCGACTCCTCTGCTGGTGGCAAGGGGCGGGACGACACGACGGCGTCGTGCTCGCTGGTCGGCGTCGTGGAGCCGACCGTCTCGCTGGCACCGGAGGCCGGAGAGGACTTCCAGGCGGTGGCGGCAGCTGTGCAGGCGAACCCGGCGGTGGTCCCGCTCGACAGCGGCTGCTCCCACCACCTGATGGGGACGAAGGAAGTCTTCGTCGACCTGCAGCCGAGCGGCTCCATCAAGCATGTG